CTGACATTATAATCAAAAAGAGATGATATTTGACCAAAACCCATAATCATGGGTAGAGTGGACCGCTGCCAGTGTCTCTCTTTCCCAAACAAAAGGAAATGATATTAATTTGATTGACCGTTCTCAAATGCAAAATGATACCGAGAATGAAATCGGTCGCTCGCTTTTCCCATTCATTTACAATTGTAATAGATTAAGAAGAACTACCCAAAGGCAGCTGTACTCAGCAATAAAGATTCAATAAACTTCAGCTAATTCAATATGTAATAACTACCACCCTTACCCCGAAATACTAGGTATCGACCCAAACGCAACCCAAAGAGATTTTTACAGCATCTGATTGATGTACCTAATCAATCGAAACTTATCACAATTCGTAAGCCGTGAATGAATGGGAAAAGCGAGCGACCGATTTCATTCTCGGTATCATTTTGCATTTGAGAACGGTCAATCAAATTAATATCATTTCCTTTTGTTTGGGAAAGAGAGACACTGGCAGCGGTCCACTCTACCCATGATTATGGGTTTTGGTCAAATATATAATTATATGAAATGTAATTAATGAAATGACGATGAGCGAGGATCACGACGCGACGTAAAACAACATGTACCCTGCGCAAGTTCGAGAGAACTGGCAAAGTCCGGAATTTCAGTTAAGTCAGATCTCTCGAGCGAGCGCACAGGCTTTTATATAAATGCTTTATATTACGTAATTTACTATTTATCAACAGCTTGCTAGTCTATTGCTCGTTTCTCTCACGGATAATGCAAGAAGTGGAGACAGCCGCGCAGATTAAATAAAATGGAATGGCGTGCCAGGTAAGCCTTATGTTAAATTTAATGAGTTCGTATCGCTCCTTCAATTTCATCCTTGCTTTTGGGCTGCAAAGGCAGAATCAAGAATTGTAGGTTTATAACGCGCGACAGCAGCAGTGAGCAGCAGTGAGCAGCAGTGAGCAGCAGTGAGCAGCAGTGAGCAGCAGTTAGCAGCAGTTTCTTTGCACTGTAGTCCTCCTGTGCGTAAGACACATAAAACTTTTTTATCCACACCGGGCCCCTTTGACGGATGTTACTCGTTTAAATTTCTTCGAAGTAGCGCGCACCGCTTTTTCCGAAATATTAGCCCGGCCGAGGCAAGTGCTACGAAGTATGAAGTAGCGCGCGCTGGGTTAGTCCAATAACAATGGTTGTAGGTTTACAACCTACCAGGACGCGCGCCGAGTTGGACTCGTCGACGGTCCCAATATATGGAACAGATATTTTACGAGTATCACCCGTTAATAACAATGGACAACAGCCCGCTAAGTCAATCAATAAAAACAGCGTATAATACAGTAATTGATACATGTTTCGTATCCAAATATCAGAGATATTATGGATACACCATGAAGGAACACCTCTGCGCGGCGTAAGTAAATTTACAAGTTCGCGCGAAAAATTGTCTTATTTTCCTGGCGCTTTGGTCAAATAGGATAATACGGACGCAGAATATGCGTCCCTCTAAAAAGTCCGATTCCCTTCATGGTATGCCCCTTTTTCTGCCTTCGGCGGCGCGCGCTTCGCGCGCGAAAAGTGGCATGCAGCGTATGTCAATACAGTAATAGTAATACAATCTTGATCATTCATGTTCTAATTGTCCGTGAACATTGAATAAAACATGCAACATGACTTAATCACATGTGTGATGTGTTTTATTCCCGAGCCCATATGCCATAGCCGCGCACGGACACAAATCAAGATTACCGTCGTTACTGTTTCTAGTCACTAGATACACATGACATGCAACAAGCTGAGCTACAAATTCAAAATTCAAAAATTACACAGTCTAGCCATCTCTTCAGCTTTATGAGCTTATAAAAATTATTAATTATTTCAGCAGATACGACCACTCACAATTTAGTTTTATGCAATCACATTTTTGCCCGAATATTGTTCATTGCAATTGAGCGATATTTAATATGAGCACATCGAAAATTGATATATAACCTGCCGAGTTGGACCCGCGTCGACGGTACAACCAAATATAATATTTTACGAGTATCACCCGTTAAATCGACAACAGACAATGATTCACCTAACCATGTGCTTTCGCGCTACTGCAAGCGCAAGGGCTCTGGATAGAGCAAGACAATGACATGAGCATTCCCTGGAAACCTTACTGGATGGGGCCTAACTTTGAAAGTAAAAGAGTAAGCAGTAAGAGACTTCCGGTTTTTTGCAAAATGTTCGTTTTATAAAAATAACGTTTCCTCCCCAGGGGGAAATTTGAAACAAAGTATTTGTTGAGATATCTCAAAATCTTCAGAAACGTCTCATTTGAATGGACCATTGTTAATGATTTGGCCCGGCGCGCGCTACTTTGTAACACTTGCCGTCGAGCCATTTCGAGAAGAAAGTGGCGCGCGCTACTTCGAAGAAATTTAGACGAGTAACATCCGTCAAATTTTTGTCATACGTTGTATGACCCGCCACGCACGAGTGCGCGGCTCCCCCTGTATCGTCGAAACTCTATAGTGAAGCGACCGTGGGGGTCACCAGTCACCACGTGATAAAATTAAATTTCGGGCCGATCAAAAGTTTGCAACTTTAACTTTGCGAATTCCTGTACTCTGATTGGCTGAATTGTGTCACGTGGTAGCTGCTTGAACATTGGGATGCGCCACGCGTGCAAATGATATCATCAATCATGCTTAATGTCGCGCGCGCGGCGCGAGGTCAAGTCGTCTTTTTAATTAAACCAACTTTAGTACCACCGCCAGCCAGTAACTTTTGCTGGATCACTGATAAGTATAATTGCGCGCATGTGGCATGCAGATGGAGACAATTGTTGTAGCATGTAGGTTTATAGCCTACCAAGACTCGCGCCGTTAGTATAGACTCGTCGACGGTCTTGGAATATTTGTGATTTGGAACAAATATTTTACTGTTTATGGTTTATGAGTTTCACTATCATGATCACCCATTAAGAAAATTTGCGCGGTTATGGACTAACAATAATTTGTCATACGTTGTATGACCCGCCTGTATCGTAGAAACTCTACACCATAGTGAAACGACCGTGGGGGTCACGACGTGATACAAACAATAACAACATTGTGTACATATATATAATAGTAAGGGGCCATCTACAATTAGGACGTCCGGCAAATAGCTGAAGGGCCGAAGGGGGTGGTTTTGGAATTTCGGACAAATCCGGACAGGGGGAGGGGGTGGTTTCTTAAAATCCAGACGTCCGGAAATTTTTGCAGAATTAACGAAAAAGTCCCATTTACAAATTTATTTCAACTCTTTGACACTAATTACTTTTAAGTAAGTTTGCAGTTTAGATCTCTGTATTTTTTAACGAGAAATCAATTCCCAGAGCAGCTCATGAGAGCCGCGCGCGAGACACAACTCGCATATTCTCCTACTGCTTTTTATACTATTACTTCATTTCGCCAGCCAGACAATCCGGACGTCCGGAGGAGGGGAGTGGTTTTGAAAATTCTGACACACCGTACCCGGACAGGATGGTGTGGTCTAAAAATCTGCGATTTTGGCGGACGTCCTGAGTAGATGGCCCCTAGGTGTAACTGAGTTAAATGACGTTTAACCTGCTTCATGCATGGGGACCCAGGCTTAATCATTAATTGCTAATGTTCATTGCATATTAACATATATGATACAGATTGAAGATATGGCGCGGCGGCGGGCGGAGTGACAGACTAAGCGCCGACCAGTAAGAATGACGCAGACTCAGAGAACTTATCAGATTAGCTCGGCCGTAGCGGGTACCGATGCAAAACCATCTTTGCCCTGCCTGACCAATACCTAGCTAATTGCGATAGTCTATTGCCCGCTTCTCTCACGAACATGCAATAATTAAAGTGTGGAGAGCGCCGCACAGAGGGAATGGAGCGCCAGGCCACTGGGCCACAGGTCATGCAACTTGAGAATAATGCATGCCAATAGCTTAAAGTTAAAGTTAACCAGGTATAATTATAATAACTAATAGTAACTTTAGGCATAGCTACAACATACAAGGAATACAATTTATTTACTTTTAGTTCCAAACACAACGTCACAACATATAATTTAAATTATATTGTAGGTTTACAACCTACCAGGACGCGCGCCGAGTTGGACTCGTCGACGGTCCTGTATATATATGGAACAGATATTTTACGAGTATCACCCGTTAAAAATTATACAGACAACGCCGATTCCATTTGGCTTCCATAAGTTTGTTTGAAATTAGACTATGGACTAATCGTTTGTAGGTTTATAACCTACCAGGACGCGCGCCGAGTTGGACTCGTCGACGGTATATATGACTTGACTTGACTTGACTTAAGGCGGGTAGTATTCCCGAGATCCATTGACAACAGTTCTCCACAGCTTTCTGTCCTCCATCAGTCTAGCAATCTCATCTACTGATTTCAGCCCAGTATCTGCTTTTAGGTTATCTAGTAGTGTTAAGTAAGGTCGCCCCCTGTTAGTATGTCCATGACTCGGCTTCCAGAGGATCAGTTTGTTCAGTGTCAGCTCCGGATGTCGGTGAGCATGACCTGCAAGTCTGAGCCTTCGTTGGGTTATCTTGGAGCTGACTTTGGGAAGATCACCGTACAGACTGTGGTTGCTGACATGGTCTCGATATTGATTGATGTTAAGGGCCATTCTTAACATTCGTGTATAGCAACCATCAACCATCTTCTCTAGCCTTTTTGTCATAGTCCAAGTCTCAGAACCGTATAAAGCACCGACTCGACTAGTGCTGTGAACACTCTGGTCTTGATAGACTTTCTAAGGTTAGATTTCCAAAGTTTTTTGAGAGTGTGGCATGCTCCCCATGCACTTCCTTTCCTAACCCTGATATCACTCTCACTGTCTCTGATTCTAGAACCAAGATAGGTAAAGTATATATATGGAACAGATATTTTACGAGTATCACCCGTTAAACTTATCGTCTGATTGGCCAGGAGAAATATAATTTGTGGTAAGCAGAGAAACAGCTTAATATTGATATTTGATCTTACAAAAGCGACAAAATACTTCAATTTTACAGAAAATTTCAGTTTAATAGTCTTGAAAGTTATCAAAGTAAAAATAAAAATAAAATAATCCAAGAATATAAATTAATGCAGAAAGAGAACGTACTAACAAAACAAAAATATATTTTTGAAGAGTGATTTTAACAGCTCCAACAGCTAAGCTGCATGGCACGCGGTAGTCTACAAATTTCAGTTGCAACACACATGCATGAAAGCAGCTTGAATCCAACTTTACCTAAAACTAAAAGCAGCAAGCACGAATAGTTTTAAATCTACAAACCTTAGAAATTGACTTAAATATATGTCTTCATCGGCCGATCGGAAAGTTGGTTGAAAGAACAGATATATCGGGCAATAACATACTTGATAAACAAAAGCTATGGATTCTCCTTTTGGATCTTTGTAATACTGGTAAGCTTACTTTTCGAGTAATAATTATAGCATTCGCAACTTGAATTGACCAAATATGGAGTTGTTCACCCGTCTTTTAATCCGATTTTATATGAAGACATATTATATACGTTACAGATTAACGGTAACCTCAGATTGCAGGATGATGTTCGTGGCGACATTTTAAATCAGCACTTAGGCAGTTTCATTCAAGTCTACTTCTAGGAAGTCTAATCTAACTGAGCGGATAAAATGTTCATACGCATACATTTTAACAGTTCAATCTAAAATTTGTCTCTATTTAACCATAAAATTTACATCAAATCAAATCTCCATCTTCTAAATATAAATAAATAGTTCTTTACATGGACACATGAAATTCGATTTTAAAAACACTACCTGAACCTCTAGACGGTCTTTCCATTAGTTTTCGTTACGGCGCTTTTTGAGCCAATCAACAAAGGAACGACCAGCGGACTTTGAGGAGTTGAGATTCTGAAGGTCAGGTTTCATGACGACCTCCTCGTCCCTCCTCAAACTCACTACGTTGTGTCTTGAGATCTCCGAGGACTTAGATTTCGTCAGCCCCTTAGGCTTGGCCTTCACACCTCCCGACTTAACAGACACTTTGTGAAGAGCAGATCCATCTGTTGATTTCCTTCTGAATCTGTTGGGTTGAAGAGACATGTTCATCTGTGGAGTTGGATCACAATTCCGGACCATGTGCTTCTGGAGATTATCTGATGATTTAGACTTGAGAATCTTGCGGGCCGTGGCTGAGGTTGGGTTGCTCAGCAAGGACCTGGGTGTTTTCAACAGGCACTCTTTGAGCTGATTTTCTGTCTGTTTAGCAGTTTGTTTGAGTGGCACACCGGACGGAGTTATGGGAGCTGGAGTGCTCATCTTTCTCTGAGAGGGGGTTGAGACGTAGTTGCTTCTGCGGACCTCGCCGGACTTAGAGTGTTTCAGAGTGGGTTTGTTGGACACGGTGTTAGTCCTCCTCTCACAGGACTTAGAGCGGGCTGTAGGCACGGGTATTCTGGATCTAGCGGTGCAAGATTTCCTGCGGGGAGACGAAGTTTTAAGGGAGGGTTTCCTGGGGGACTGATTAAAGAGGGTCAGTGGTTCTTCCTCTTCTACAAAGATAGGAGGAGTATTGCTGTTCTTATTGAAGGAGATAAGAGGGGAGAGAGTGGTATTCATCTTCTCTTCCAAGGTGTCAAACTCAAAGTCAGGAACTGAAGATGCCGTGCTTCCTCCCTCTGATCCACCTCCACCAATATGAGCACATCTCGGGGCCAAACAGCCCAGATCCTCACTTTCTGAACTGAAGGTCAACTTTCTGGCAAACCTAGCAGAGCTGGACCTGGAGAAACGGGAGGACTCTTGTTGTCGTGGTTGCTTGGCAACAGGGGACACGTCCTCACGTATCCAGGGCTGCTCTGCTGAGACCAAGGGAGAAGAGGTGATCATGGATGTAGATCTGTTGCGTCTGAAAGGAGAGTGTTCCCAAGAGGTAGAGATTTTGGACTTAACGTCTCGTGTGTTGAGAGCTCCTGCAAAACAAGGAGAGGTCAATAAAGAAATAAGATGGGTGTCAGCATTAAAGGCTGAAAAAGGAGAGGGATAAGGTTTAAAATTATATCATACATCATCAGCAGTGCTTCACAGTGATACGTACTAATATCAGTACAGCGGGGTAAGTGGAACTTTTAAAACTGGTGACAGCTAAAAATGATCGTTAAATTTATAACAAATTTAGAAGAAAATCGGTTGTGAAGCCAGAGAAATGTTAAAGTGATACTTTTTGAGAGAAGATCGTGGGATGTTGGAGGTCAAGGTTGCAGGTCTGTTTGGTGTTGTAAGTTTGTTTGTCCGTGCTTGACTGTCAGTTCCTAGTTTAATAACTGTAGTCGGGGGTTTGATTCCGCTGGGTTTCCGTAAACCGGACTTCTTTATAACTTGGGGTTTAGTTTTGTAAGATTTCTGAGGAGGTTTCAACCCAGACTTTCTAGTAGTTTTAATGAGCTTGTCAGCTTCCACTTTATTGTCTAGAGTTACTGATGTTGTAATAGTCTGTTCTATTTCTGACTGATTCGGTTTAAAATCGACACTGAACGTATGCTCAGTTACAACGGGCTCGCTACTCCTAGACCTTGGTTTGCAACTATACGGTTCAGATGATTGTGTTGATGACGTTACGTTCTTCTCTAAGTTACTATCATCAGGTATTATACTGCCTGTAACTTTCCTTAACTTAGCTTCAAGTTGTCGTTTCTCGCTGGGTCGGGGCGTTTCCCGAACTAAGATGAGAGACGAATTGTCGAAAAGTTTGTCAGTGTTGGTGTTGGTCGTGTTGTTTTGTGGGGTCTCCTCGATCTCGACTTGTCGTGGTGGTCGTGCAGGGTCTGTAAAATAAGTTATCTTAACTGTCTTATGGGTCGTGTTAACTGTTAGTGTGTATCAAGTTACTTATAGTCAGATAGTGTGTCAATATGGGTAAAATTTGTCTCAAAAATGAAAGAAAGATCATGAGGCTGTTTGGAAGTGATTGGAACGATACCGATAAAGAATGGCTTTATCTTTCAAGATTTTAAAATTCCTCAACTTCATGTGGTTTGATAGCATGACCACACGTTTACCTAAGATTCCAGCAGTATTACATAAATTTATAGAACATAAGTTCGCTCTCCTCCTAGTATTAACTATAATTACATGCATTTTCAATTTCAATGTTCAAAGCTCCCCCATTCCGTTCTGGTATATAATACATGGTACACCAGCATAAAGGGCTAAGTAATATTTATGGTTCCCAAAGTAGGTAATAAGTCTAATGCAGTGTTTTCACCGACAGCATGCGTTTACAGTACGATAGCATAATTCCACCTTAGCGAACAGCACAGCGGTGACAGACCCTTCCGTCACTTTACGACACGTACCTTTGTCACGTCACGAACCTTTTCTCCACTTGAAGTTGAAGATTTTCGAATGAAGTTGTAGAATAAAATCAGATGTGCTAAAAAATCAGTGCTTCGTAAATATAAAATCCCCATAATCGAGTATCAAAGTGCTTGAGATTTGCTTCGCGGACCATACAATTCACACTACACAAGGTAGATTGATATTCACGCTCACAGACAATCAAGTAGAAGAGTTAATCACACACACACAGAGAGCTGTTTAATCACACTTTTTACTCTCACCTTATTATATCACACTCCGATCACACTTTGATGGGGTGTTCAGCTTGACGGGGTCACTCACAGTTGACACAGCAGTTGGGATATTTTTGAACGAGTAAAATAAGCAATGACAAAACTCGAGATAAGCAAAAAATGTTTCGGAGAAAAAAAGTTATTCAATACTGGAGATAAATAACTTAAGTAAGAAAGTTATTCAATACTGAAGATAACGCAAAGGAAAGAGAGCACGAGAGAGACTGCTTGGCTCCAGCTACGCGGAGTGAACAATGTAGAAATTGGCAAATATTTTGTAAATTCAGATAATTTCCGCATGAGCAGAGCAGCTTGTATAGCAGCTGAGTCACGTGTAACAATGCCAGGTGATGGGCTACAAAAATAACAGTGAGAACATGTTACAGTGTGACAGGGTGAGTGTAACAACACTGTAAAGTGTAAAGTTGTAACCACTAACCGACAATCTGCTTGAACTTCATTCTACAGGGGTCGTGTTTGGCGATGAAGTGGTCGAGAGTGTCCCACCCTCCTCCTACTCGCACCATCACGTGGTTCCTCAGGATCTGAAAATAGATTTGTTACTACCAGGAAGTAAGTGGAGGGAAATTCCAGCGAGAGAGGTGATAATTTGCAGACAGTGGGTAGTGTGTTTGTTTGCGTGAAATGGTGAGGTTGGTTAGTGATTAGTGGCGGGCGACGATTCAAATGCAGATGCTAACTGCGGTGATAATTGTTTGGCAGACTGTAAGTCTATAAAAACGGTTTACCAGCTGAAGAATCTTTTCAGCAAATGGTAGAAAACCAAACGTATCAGTTATGTATAGACTTGAAGACAACTTAAACATACCGGTATAATATGGTTAGAATAATAAGCCATGAAGAGGTGAACTGTAACCGCAACAAAGAACAATCAGACTCAAAGGTGTGAAGCAGATAATGGCACTCAAGATGACAAAACACGATATTTAGGGTATGACTCAAGCGCACAGTTATGGTAATGGAATTATGGAAATAAGGTTGGAATGGATGATCCTATGCTTTAAGGATGAAGAGCCAGTGTTTAATGTCGTGTCTGCTGAGGTCGGTAGCAGTTCTCATGTTACATAACATGTCTGGATGGTGACATATTCACTGCGGTCATTCGAGACGGTTTCACATAATAGACTGACTGTAGGGTGATTTAGTCTGCAGTCTGCAGCTTTGGCGTCTTGCAAGATAAGAGACATGTAAATATAGTGCTAATATGGAAGAATCAACATAGCAGTTGGGCCAACAGCCAAGCTTGATATATAGTGAGTCAAACTACTAGAACAGACTACAGAGAATTGGTATCAATGGTGCGTATACGCGCCAAAGCTAGCAATAAAACGTGCGCGCGTCCCTCTTCAAAATTATGAAGACTGCTGCAGATTTACATCAAGTAAAGCACCATGCGCGCGCTCGTAAGTTGCTAATCATCAGAAGTTTGGTCCATTCCCCGACTTGTATTCTGCTTCCCACGGTAAATGGGTGCACTATTGCAGCTATTGGTTACAGTACACCTATTAGGAACATCATGATGACCCACTTACATGGCTCAAGTTGGAACACAAATGGAATCTCAGAACTGTTTCAAATGGAATGGAGATCCTTGGAAATTCATGGGAAAAATGTAATGCTATAATTAGTGCGAAGCGGAATTCCTGATCAGTGACAAGGAGTAAATTGCATTCCATTTGATACCGGCACACACAAACATCCGATGTAAATCAATTAATCGAACACCCGAACCTTCAAAAACCTTTTTTCACAAACACCAAATTTTGGTATGACAATCTAATTATGTACAGTGGGATAATATTTTCCTAGACCAGCATAATGTACATAATGTTTGTGATCATACCGGGTAAGATAGTGCTAACCAGCGCCATTACAAAATGGAAAGGAATTATCCGCACCAAAAAGTCTCACATACTTTTCAAACTGAACAATGTATGAACAGATTACACTGAATTATATTGTACATCAGAATACAGGGGTGCGGAATGTATAAATACCACTGTGCGTGTTGTGTGTACTCTTGAATTATGTACATGGTGAGGGAGGTGATACAGGGTGAGTTGGGGTGACAATGGGGATTACACCACATGGTCCCCGTTTTGCTAGCACTGCATTGTCCTCTTTTACGTCATCAGCCTGATTATGTAATACGATTATGTGTGCAAGGACTCAAATTGGACGAATATATTTCCCCCGAAAATTATACACGAAACTTCCACTTCTAATTCTAGATAATGAAAAACTTGCGGCTCCAGACACTATAATTGACAGCGCGCACGAGTCCAGATTAGATTAAAGGTTGTATAAAATATCACATTAATTAAGGGGCAGAAAAGTGAAGACAGACAAAGCATCGTTAAATTCAATGAGGGCGCTTGAGCTAAAGTTTCTAAAGTTTGAATAGTCGTGTATTTATTGTATTGTGTTTGGAGTGTTGTGTATAGTTTACATTAACAATAGTTATTCGTTTTCTGGAAAACACGTCATCAAACACACAAGCTTTAGATTAGTACAATGGAGTAATTACTGTAGCAGGTTTAGCTTTCTGTGCGACTCTTTAATAAGCTCAACTACAGAATAAGTGTAATGCAATGTGAACAAGTGAAGGGATGATGAGGATTACAATTAGTATAAGTAAAGAACTAAGTTCTAAACGAGTCTAAACGAGTAGAATGGAGGAACATGTTACGCCGTAGAAAAGATGTGTGTGATGCAGGCCACTCCAACGACTAGGAGGAGACCTCTTCATGTAGCAGGTGTATGTAAAGAACTAAGTTTGGATAAAGAAATAAGTATAAAACTAAATAGAAGTAAAGAACTAAGTAAAAAACTTACCCTGACAAAGAAGATCTGACTAGTGTGAGGTAGTTTGTATTTGCCGTCTCCTACTCGGTCCAGCTGGAAGGGGGTTTTACACGTGCACCTCGATACAATAGCTCGCACCTGGAGAGGTAATAGCTTGTTAATTGGATAATTAATTAGCATAATTATATGGTTTTGAAATTAGCAGGTGTTAAAAGTATGGGGAGTATGAAAATACTTTACACGTGTAAAACAGATAACAGCGGCTTCAGCTTTATAATTTATGCCAAACATGCCATGATCATTGGAGTTGTCGAGTTTTGAGCTTATCGGTTATATTCAATCAAATTATCAGAACTAGGAAATTTTGACATGGATAATTAATTCTAATTAGCCCTAATTAACTATAATGACTTGCACTACTCCTGGCTAATCAAATCCTCTCATTAACAAGATTTCAACAATTAACATTTCCTTGTTATCCTATTATTTACGTGATGGTATCACACACACAAATAAATAATTGTATAACCCCAGCGCCACACAATAAAAACTGTAGCATTATATAAACAGCTATTTTTAAAATTCAGGTTCTAGTGCTCATGAAGAGTCACGTCACTTTTGTGGGCATTAATACTACTTCTTTATGTAGATTAGAAGAGACAAAGCCACCTCTTGTAAATGTAAATTGGTAATGCAGTAATGCCTCCACCACGCATAACAGAGATTGTAAGCAGCCGAAGTAGCGAATAACTGTAATTATCCCATAAACAATGTACGCAGTTAACTTGGCACAACCACGCCTCACTTAAAAAGTGAACCATTTTCAGCAAAGCATGTATTGTATTATAATAGTGGCAATACATATTTCCTTAATTTAATGGATTTGTGTAAGGGAGGATTGTGGAGAATGTGCCTTTTGCAAGCGATGGAATTTGGAGAAGGGCTATCTGTCAGCACTTGCTGACCACAGTGGTCGATATATTATTCAGCCGATACATTTGAATTGTCAGTCGATGCTACTAATCGTTCAAAATCAACTTTGTCAAAGGTATAATGACACCGTTTAATATTATTACTAACATCTGACGCTGCTCATTGACCGTGATCAATGACCTTAAAAGTAGTTACATATCTAACTGCAATCATTGTTTCCACGCTAAAATACGGACAATTTGGTGTGGTATCTTTTTAAGGTTGGTAAGCAAGGTGCCCAATAATCAACTAGTTGTTTCGCATGGGTAAATGAACAAAAAGTTTATGGATATATATGACAGTCTCTCAATTAGATAATGAGCATTTAAAAGAACCATAAAAATGTGTGATGAAAAGTATGAAAGTGTGATGAAAAGCGTGATGATAGGAATATCTACTATCAACTATCTAGTCCACTAGATCTAATATTTATTATCTACGAAAGTTTACTGTACCCTCTTGTCTGCTTCTGACAAAGGAAGTTTTGTGTGTCTGAAAAACATTTTCAGTAACTGCTGTCGTCTGTCGTGGATCTGTCAATGTTTGTGTTAGTGTCTGTCAGTGTTAACGTTAATCAGTTTAAATGTCAGTATTAAGTCATGTCATTTATCAGTTAATATTGTTACATATTTCTATCAAACTAAATTTATTTTTATCACTACATATTTCTAGGACTAAACAAAAAATGTTTGTTATTTTTAGAAAACTGTACATCCGATATTGATTTGCAGGCTCTTCAGTCTTTTTGTTAAAAGACTTAAATCGGAAACATTTAAAGTATTAAAGTTGGGAAAGTTAAATCTAAGTCAGAACTGTAACAACATAGTCAGCTGTCTAGCAGACCACATGACATCTCAATGATAGACCACGTGATATCTCAATGATAGACCACGTGATATCTCAGTGATTACATCTTGTGACAGGAGATAAGTGACAGGTATCAGGTGGTACAGTAGATAATACCCACAATATACACACCAGCAGGACATGTTCTCCCAGCACTGAGTCCTCCCAAACACAATAATCACTGTCTGTGTGTGCTTCTACCCCGCACTCTCTCTCTCTCTATATCTCTCTCAGTGGAGTGTATATTAGTACACAACCAGTACCCGTCAACTATGTGCATAAAAATAGAAAACACGGTCTCACTCAGCAGAAGTATAGCCGGTTTCTTGACTTGTTGAAGTGGTGGAGAACGTATTTAATTTACAACGGAATCAACTGTGTTGCTGTTGTCACTGTGCTGCGCCCATGTTAATACTTGGGTAGTGGGTAGGGTGCAGGTTTATGTGCGCTGCTGCAACCACATCTACAAGTGCTACTGAGAGTATGTAAGATTGGGGAGATTCATTACTTTCCCAGATTACAGTGAACCCTCTTCCCTCACGTACAGGCAAGTAATGGCCTACAATGTATGGTTCTTATAGCCAGGGGAGTCGGGTGATGTAGTGATCAATTTGTTGTGCATCTCTACCAGGAGACTTTTCACATACCAAGCTGAAACATAATAATGACCAGTGACCACCCTTCAGATTTCTATACCATACAAATAATACCCTAATACGTATATTTCCTATCCGAATTCCGAAGTCAACTAACTGCCACTAAAACCTCAATCAGCTGCATTCCTCTAAAGACAAATTCCTCTGTCACATTTTCAGGACATCCTCAAGGAACGCAGGAGCCGCCCTAACTACAAGTGGCTCCGATAGCTAATTCGTATGTCGTACTGCTAGATAATATCTAGAAGATGTACCTACACATGACAGTCCATACCAGTGTATCTGATCAGTATTCTGACAGCTGAGCGAGTAGTTCACTATATCATCCTGGTTAATGTGACAAACAGTTGAGGGTCACTTTGTACTTAGTCTCACATATTCTCGTTAATTCCCTCTGTGCTAAGGACCTACAAATATTTCACAACACCCCTTTGAGAGATGCTGCTCTGTAATACACACAGTACATACACACTGGGGGACAAGTAGCTATATACTAACCTATACTACTAGTACTACTACTAGTACTGCTAGTACTGCTGAGTAATAATACACCCGCACCAAACAGTTATGTGTACACTAATTCTGTACTTCCTTAACTACATGCTAAACCGGGGCCCTACTTCTGGCAGTCTGCCAGCACAAAGTCTCACATTAAACACTTCACAAAGTCTAGGTTGGTACAAGTCACAAAGTCTAGTCAAGTTCTTGACACATTTGCGGGAAGCAACAGGAGCTACTACTCCCCCGCTGCATCTGAATGTGGAGAATGAGGGACTGTGACGTAAAACGTTCTGGAGTTTCGGTGGACATGAAGCAGCGACACTGAAATTCAAAACTGCGTTTTTAAAAGTTCAAAAGTAGTTTCTCTTTGATGAGGAAGTGGAGAAGCGGCCAGTTAAAGAGTTGAAATAAAGCTATTTTCTGGTCACACCCACGCCCCATTTAATATTACAGTCTGGTTACAGCATATCAAGAGACTAGCAGATACTCTCCCTACCCCTTTACAGCAGATCAAAGCAGAAACTTAAAGATATGCTTCCTTTTTCCTTATATGGAAGTTAGGAAAGTTTTGTAACCCTACTCATAGCCTCCTTTTCACCACCTTTCTGATGATTTTTTGTCTGTATGTGACAGAGTGAAGGGGTCATTAATAATAAGTTTCAACATTTACTATCGCTTTACTCAATGTTAGTCTCATTTATTATTTACTATTCACTATAGCTTTATTAAATACTGGCTATTATATCTAGCCACATTTACTGTTCACTATTAGCAATATTTGTGACCTATGACTTATGTTCAAAACACATCAAAATAAAAGCTCTGTATTTAAAAAAAATGTTACAAGAAAGAAACTTATTTTGACACCCTCTTTGACCGGAAGGGTGAGTCAAAAGCATATCATCATCTTTGTATATATTTGAAAATTGAAGACCATTATGCCTTAAAAGTATTCCAGACTCGGCCAATATAATAGTAAACTTGTGAGAAGGAAGTTACCTCATATCTACTCAGCTGAACAGTGAACCAGTTAGCTCCCTAGTCACGCAACTCTGCTTGCTAGCCCACACACTACCACACACTCTGACATCACCATGACAACCTTACACACCTTTACACACTGCCGGGACACACTGGGTTTACACAGGGTGGGTTTACACGCACATTCCCGCACACATTCCCACGTGACTCGTTACTAAGAAGTACCCCGCAACACTCTTCATAACCACTACCAGGCTGTATCTCCGGTAATACAGCGGACTCAAAGAGGAAGAGGAAGAGAACTGGCTCAGGATGTTAAGAATAATACACCGTGTTATTCCTAATTTAGCCAGTGTGCTCTCAAATGTTTCTATAGGGCTTTGGGAGGGGCAGGGCACAAGCTAGGTGCTTATACATTATGCAGAGGTCAAGATCATCATATTGTCAATGTAAGTGAAGAGAAGGGTATTAACCTTGACTTGAAGTGTATAAAGATTGAATCTGCGAAAGGGCTATATTTGGCGGGGACTCATTGGTACTGGAAGATACTCATTCTTATTCTCTACTTGGAGATACGGGAACTACACGTGAGATGCATATTGCATAAACCATTACCAGCCCGGTTGGTAGCCCTCTATTTTACAAACACCCGCCTCGCTTTATAATCTTCAGTTAATGTAACATCTCTCCAAATAGGCATCTCTTAGGCTAACCTCTAGGGTGTCCACAATCCAACAAAGCACCGTTGAGGTTGTGTATTCTACAGACACTAATATAAATGATATGCACTACTTGAAGAAGTCGCCCTAACCTCCTTGAAGTCAGCCCTCTTAAGTCTTAGATACAGTATTATCTCGCCGTATTAGCTAACTAGTTGTCTAATTAATTGTCTAATTGTTATCACAGGTTAGTCTGTGTCCTCTGCTGTCAAAATAAAGACTACTTTGTGTACCAAGTATTGTTTACTTATGAACAATGTATCTTGAATTGTAGTTGTAACTCTTCACTTAAAATAACTCTTCTTTTGTTCCTACAATAATAACATGGTCAATGTTCCCCATGTTTACGCAAGCGTGCAGATGACATCACCCACTTCCTCTATAACCAATCAATATGACGCTTATAAATACCATGTTCATTCTTCCCATCAGTCTAAAAACGTAGGATGACAAGGGCTGGATC